ACACACACACACACACACACACACACACACACACACACACACACACACACACACACACACACACACACACACACACACACACACACACACACACACACACACACACACACACACATAGTATATAATATAGTATATAATATAGTATATTAAGCGCATTCATCGAGAAATGTGAGGTCTTTTACTTTACAGAGCAGGTCATGCTGTGGTGAAATAACTTCGTGACCAGGCGGAGTGATCAGCTTGTACTGCTGGTAGCTATGTGTCAATTCCTGATGAACCTGCGACCTCAACAAGAGATTGCGATGCGCGTGCCCAGTACTAGCTGCACTGATTTAGAAGCTATATAGAAGAGCTGTTAAAGACACGACAATCCTATATACGTATGTACGTGCATGCATTGGGATAAACAAAAGCAATTTTCGCAACGCCATACCTGCTGATGACACCACAACACCTGCGTGTGGAGATGAGTGCCTGTGCTGTCGATTTAAAGTGTTTTTATTACTGTTATATGGCTGTTATATAACGAAAACACGACATTTTTAATAAGCAGAAACCAGATAATCGTCAACATAGTTCAACACAGATTATAGGTTTTGGCAGCAGTATGTTTAATGTGTTTACAAATGACAAACGTGATCTGATTCATGTACTGTTTCATGAACTACCCAGTAATTATGATACGTAGAGTTGCCGATATATATATATATATATATATATTATTGTGATGCCGGTTGCGTTGTTAACGTGATTCGACTCTTAAATAAAAACATGTTTTAAAAATTCAAGTGAACTTTGAACAGGTGAAAACGAAACCGGTTTTATCTAGCGATTAAACGAATCAATCAAACTGTGTCTACTAAGCTGCGACTACTTTGCGTCTAGTACTCACCGAACGTAAAAATCCACAGTGCACACGACAGCTCGTATAAAACGAGCGGCGATCTCATTGCGGAGGCGCTCGCTCGCTGTCCGCGGGCAATGGCAGCTCCGACACGAAACAGCAACAACGTCTCAGCACACACACTAGCCTGCTTCGTCTAGCTTGCTATTATACGGCGACGTCCGACGGCGTCGAAGAAGGTAAACCGTGCACCAGCCGTAAGCTGAAGTGTGTGTCCGTACCCACGGGGCATTTTGCGCCGAATAGAGGCCCCGCTGCGGAATATCCGAAGCGTGCCGGGTGGTTTGCACACCTTGGAAGTGTTGTCCTACTTTCACTGCGCGCAATATTTCTACTCGCGCCTTTCGCTGCGCCGCGAGCGTTAATTCGTACACTACTACTAGTAATATGTAGTAACGTCGCGCGCCCATCTCCCCTGCGGTCATTTGATAGATTCATTGTAGATCACTAACTAATACGTTTAGCTATAGCATCGCCCTTGACGTGTCCTCCGAGTACACATGATTTGCTGACGCGCGCGTGTTTCATAGAAGGCATGGCATTATATTTATATTATTTCTTTAAACTGCAGTTATAAAACAGTCCTTTTCTCAGTTCTAAAAATTTGATATGCAACAGCAACAGTAGCAGCAGAAGAGGGCGAGGATGATGATGATGAAGATGAAGAAGATGATGATGATGATGATGAGGATGAGGAGCAGTATCAGCAACACCAACAACTACAGCAGCAGCAGCAGCAGCAACAACAACAACAACAACAACAACAACAACAACAACAACAGCAGCAGCAGCAGCAGTAGTAGCAGCAACAGCAGTGGCGTAGCCCGTACTTTTTAACAGACGGGGGGGGGGCAAACAGCGAACTGCGCAAAATAGTGGATGACTTAATATTTTAATTGTTCCTCCGCCTATATCTCCACACCCTACGCTCCCCCACCTCTCAGCTCTGCAAAATTTGTTTTGGGCGCTATGCGAAAAAGCGACATTTTTGTTCGTTGTTCTCTTCTCCCAAGATATGTTCTGAACTGTTCAGTGGCGGATCCAGGATTCCAAGGAGGGGGGTTGAAAAACAGGCTAGGGTGTGGGGGTCGTCCACCAGAAAATTTTGAAAATGTAGATCGCAGGAGATGGTATTTGAGGCACATTTGAGTACATGTACAGCCTTCATTCTGACTACGACAATTCTCTTTTTATTAGAACAATTCTTTTTTTTACTTCCGGATCAACAGGGGGGTCATGGCCGGCCCCCCTAACTACGCCACTGAGCAACAGCATCAACAACAACGGCAACAATAGGAGCAGTATAAACAACATCAACAGCAACAGCGTCAATGGCAACACCAGCGGCATCATCAGTAACTGTAGCAGCGATGACATGAAGTGATTCATAATACCTAAGCAATACAAGAGCTGACAAATATCTTCACACCGAGCAGGTTTGATAACAATTAACAAGAGTAGGCTATTCATTTATCATTACAAAAGTATGGCAACCCTTATTCTAATTACAGCCGGTGTATTCAGAGACTGAAAACTGCTATAAGTAAAATGGGTAAAAGTTCATTTAAATAGCCATATCTTATAACAAAGTAATGTCTTTTTTACGTTTTCGTGATGGTAATTTGCTATATTTATTACATAGTTAAGCCCAGTGGCAATTTGTACCAATCTACAGATGGAGACCAATCATATTTATACACAGTAGTTACACAGAGCATGAATAGTGCTAGATCATTAACGATGTTGTACGGCTGCTTGACTAAATATGTTATACTATGAACGGTGTTTAACACGAGATAGTGCAACAAAGGTAGAAATAATACCAAGATATACAATGCTAAATAAAATGCTAGATAACAAATAATACAAAGCGAAATCTGTGAGGAGAGTATAACCTCATTAGTTCATTTACATAGGCCGCATCTCAACAGCTTTTGCCGAGCTCGTTACGAAAGCAACCGGCGGATTATCAACGTGAAGGATACCACTCGCGTTCACTTGCCTTGAATTTTCCTACTAAAGGAATTAAGAAGCCGGGGCTAAATCAGTGTTTATACGGACAGTAATTTGCAATATGGATATGCAGTGACTCGCAAAATAAAAACAGGCGAAGTAATAATACGTCCGGCAATGAAGGTTATATACTTAATGCAACTTCCGCACGAGTGCGTCGAGTTATAGTAATTTCTTTCAGCTAGCGCAGTTTGTTTCACCCCGACTCTCGTTCTAGTGTTTTTTTGAACGTACATACGATGTCACGCACGACTACACCATCATCAGCTGGATTAGATGAGCAATTAAAAATTCTCCACGCGTATCGAGCTTATTGCTAAGACAAATAACCCAACTCCTGGTACGTGGGCAGTGATAATGGCATACATCGGCAATCGGTCAGCGAGAAAGAGTGAAGCCTTGACCAGGAACACGAGTGGTATTAGATGGTTGGAAAGACATGTTGATTTGCAGCTCTATATGATTGGATTTAGTATGATTGTAGGTTTTCGATATCAAGGACATATTTAAACTGTCGTATCATGTTTAATTGGTAGACACGCACGAAATATTTAGCTTCTTTTGAGAAATGCTCGGTCTCATGCGTCTTACTCTTAATCCCAACACCACATCCCTCAGTATGCCTTTTTTCCTTACTCACCATATATATCTCTTATCTGCCATTAGATTCTTTGCCACAACATTGCTCCTGTACAACTCTATTTGTTAACACCTCTGCCTCTCTTCTTTCAACTTTTCTCTATTCCTTCTTCCCTTACTGTCTTCATCAACGCCTCATTATTACCCTCTTCCTTCCCATCGCATCTTTACTCTAGCGTACAGTGTATTTAATTATATTCTTTTAAGATCGTGCCGTTGAATTGTATCATTCCCATGCATTAATTCAAAATTGTTTTGGGAACTTTCTTTTTAATAATAAATCAAAATCTCGTCATCGTAACAAAGTTTTCGCGTCACCATGTTTCAGTTTTTCTTTCACAAATTCTCCTACATGACCGGCTTCTTAGCCGATTTATAAAGACTTCCTTAAAGTTTAGCTCCACTCAGCGAGCATTTATAATTGCAAACAAATATGAACTTTTCACGCTTTTTTAGTGTAACTTATCCGCCCCCTAATCCATTTCTAAAATCCGTGACCTTGCGCTGGCAGTAGACATTACACTCACAAGTATGCGCGTCATAGTCTGAACGGCTCAAGAGCTACACGCTAGGATTAATCCTTCTTGGATATTGTAGAACATCATTCATGCAAGACAACGCGATGTTTAGATGATCGTATCGTGCGTGGATAAATTCGTAACCTCACTCTGGCTGCTAGGTGATTATCAAGAGAGGCGTATCCACGTAATATTGATCCTCCTGCAGTGATGAAAATTATGGCTCGCAGTCGGCGTGAATAATAAGCATAGAATATCATATCGTCATTCCATGATCAGCAAAACCTTGCAGTGACGACGTGACGTTCAACCGAAAGGTTGGTATCTCGGACTTGGCCGTTACTTTTCCTCTAATCGATCTCCGGTTTCACCATGGATATGTTTAGTATAACAAACACAATATTATATGTAATAAATATATGAATGTAAAAGATAAGTAAATGTATAAATATACAAACGAATAAATAGAAATAAATAAATATATATATAAACAAACAAATATAACATTCGTAAAAACGAAGAATTACTACTACAATAAATAGTGTGTAAATTACTAAGAAAATAAGTACAGAGAGAAACACAGAGAATGAGACAGAGACAGAGAGAGAGAGAGAGAGAAAGAGAGAGAGAGAGGTCAGAGAGAGAGAGAGAGAGAGAGAGAGAGAGAGAGAGAGAGAGAGAGAGAGAGAGAGAGAGAAAGAGAGAGGGGTAGAGAGAGATAGAGAGAGTGAGAGAAAGTGAGAGAGAAAGAGAGGTAGAGAACGAGAGAGAGAAAGAGAGAGAAAGAGAGAGAAGTAGAGAGAGAGAGAGAGAGAGAGAGAGAGAGAGAGAGAGAGAGAGAGAGAGAGAGAGAGAGAGGGGTAGAGAGAGAGCGAGCGAGGGAGAGAGAGAGGGAGAAAGAAAGAGAGCGAGACAGGGGGGTAAACGAGCGAGAGGGCGAAAGAGAAAGAGAGAGAGAGAGAGAGAGCAAGTGAAAGAGAAAGAGTAAGAAAGAGGGCGAGAGATATATAGCGAAGGAGAGGGCGCAAAACAGAGCGAGAGGGAGAGAATAAGACTGAAAGAGGAAGAAGGCGAGGCATACCATGTTTTTATTTCGAAAGTGTATGCAATTTTACACATTCATATTTACACATAATAATAAAAGCTAGCCTATCTATGTATAACTAGCTGGGCTACCCGGCGATGTCCGGGATAAAAGAAAAAAGAGCTAGAATTTAGTCTGCCATCACGGCTGTACTGATCTTATCCGGATTTTATAAATCTGCCCCAAGAATTTCACTTCTGTTCAGTTCTGCAGCGCTTCTTGGTACACAACATTCTTGGTCTTTCCATCTTGAGAGAGGATATAGAGATTGTCTGGGTTACCTACCTTGGAGCACCCCACATAGAGCTGGCCATGGGAGAACACTGGCTCACTGAGGTTGAGTCCAACCACCTTGAGGGACTGGCCCTGGGCCTTGTTGATAGACATGGCAAAGCTCAGCTTGACTGGAAACTGCAGCCTCTTGAACTCAAATGACAGGTCTGATGGGATCAGCGGGATCCTTGGGATGAAGACATTTTCGCCCTTGCCCTTGCCTGTCATGATTTTGGCTTCGATGACTCTGGGCATAAGCTGCTTCACTGTGAGCCTTGTGCCGTTGCAGAGCTTGGGAGCATCCAGGTTGCGCATTAGCAATATGGGCGCGCCGACCTTGAGCACCAAGTTGCGTGGTGTCAGACCTGAGCGCGCCAGGCTGTTGAGAAACTAGGTCGAATAGTGCACTACCTGGTCAGGATCAGGAACTGTGTCCATCGACTTGTAGCTCGTTGAGTCGCCAGGCAGTTGCTCCAGTAGCTTGGCGTTGATGTCATCCACTGCCAAATTCTTGGGAGCAAGGATGGCTCGCTTGCTCAGCCAGTCTTGGTCTTGGTAGCGGAGGTGGAGGTTTGGGAAGACTTTGGTCATCAGCTGGGTGATGTCCGCCGCTGCTTTGCCGAATGGCAGCTTGACTTGGCCATCAGCTGTGGTGGTGAGTCTGCCATTG